AGACTTCCTTTTCAATCATACAAAAGCAATAGCAATTGGTAATACATTTTCTTTACCAAATGAGAAAGAGATTGGATTTAAAAATAGAGGTAAAAAGAAAAAAAGAGCAAAGAAATGGAACTCTGAATGTAGAAGAAATAGAATTTCGTGAGCCAAAGTTTAATCTCTCACCGTTTTTTTTTTTTTTTAACATATTATAATTATTTATATGTTAATTAAAAAATAAAAAAAAATAGTTTGGTAGAGCTTAAATATGCAACCCACTTTGGACAACCCTAACCTAACCTAGGTAACGTGAGAATAGAACATAAGTCAACGACAAAAATTAGCAGAATTATTCAATGTGGAAGAGCCTCTCAAGCTTTACCCATCATATCCACGGTTCTCCTTTCACTTTCTTAGGTTAAAGCCAATTATAGTCCCTCTACTTTTAATTTTCATTCATTGTCATTTCTGTACTTACAAATCGTTCAAAATCCTCCCTCTATTTTTTCCAAACCATACTATAATCCTCCCTCTACTTTAAATTTCCATTACATTTACCTCCCTCCTCTAACACCACCCTAACACCGTTTCTGACTCCCATTTAACAGTGGCAACTTTGACCGTTAGTGCACTAGTTCTTTTTATTTTTGTTTTTATTTTTATTTTTTTGTGAATTGTGTGTGGATTCACAAAACAAGGAAAAAAAACGTTCAAAACCTATTCATTTAACAAGTATATATTAACTAGTAATTAATATCAGTATTTTTTTTATTTTCAATGCACAAAGTAAGTTTCAATTTTTATATTTATATTTTTTATTTTTTAATTATTATTATGATAATTTTATTGTCACATCTTATTAATGTTAATTTTACATTCAATTATTGTTTTTGATTTTTTTATCTTGAATTTCATAGTGAAAACTAACTTTCTCTCATCTTTTAACTCATTCCATTTACACGTAATAAAATTTGAACTCAAAATTTCTTATTTTTGTTAAAAAGAAATTATTACTAAACTATTTAGGTTATTAATTTCTTTTTGATTTTTTAATCTATTAATATAACTGAAAATTAATATGAATGACATTTTCAAAAATTTAGGCCATATTTGATTGAGTTATTAAGAAATATTTTTTTATGGATAATGATTAAGAAATAATTAATACCTATTTTCTTTAATTAGATGAGTAAGGGCATTTAAATTATAAATTATAATAAAAATTGTTAATCATTATATATAAAATATTATCTATTAGTCATTATTAATAGTTAAATTAAGGTTTTATTTGACTATACTTCTTACATTTTTTTCACATAATGTTGTCTCCAAAATCTCCCTTTCTGGCCGCGTGGCAGATAAGACTGCGAAAGCGTGCCACTCACTTTGCTCAAAGTGAGAAAGAGGGATTCCCGGTGACCCTCACTACTTCCAAGCGTGGAACTCG